CTTCAAGACTGCATCTCTCAGGACTTGAGAATTGAGGGTCTAAAAGTCCCCCTTTGAAGCGAGTCCTATGCTCAGATTACTCCTATAGCTTTTACTTAATCCCCAAAATCCAAACTGAGAGTCAGTGCCTGAAAAACCAGGTTAGGCAAGAAATTCTCAAAATTCTGCCCTCCCAAGTTTAAGGAGAGCTTCCACAGAGCTAAGATTTCTTGACTTTTAACAGAAAATTATATCCTCTTATGGAGACTGCTGTAAAAATGTCAGTTCTCCTAGGTGTCTTTGTAACTAGGAGTTACAAGGAATCTTTTAGATAGTCCATTCGTTTTTCAAATCAGCAGTGCCCAAGAAATTCTATTATGTTTTCTCAAGTATTAGAACTCACATTTATACTTGGCTATCATCAAAGCCTATGTGCAGTTTAAATGCCAGAGGAATCAACCCATCATAAGCCAAATGCCATTCTAAAGTCTTTCCTCCTTTTTCTTTTTTTCTTTCTTCTCGTCTTAGAAGAAAATTACTGACATTCTTGCAAAATCAGAGCCAAAACCTGGGATACCTGAAGACCTGCAGAAACTGATGAAGGACTATTACAGCAGCAGTCGCTCAGTGATTGAATTAGAAGAACTGAAGCTACCAGGTGCAGCCAGGCTTCTTTGGGTTTTTCCCTTTTTTATTTTTATTTTTTTTCAATTTCTTACGATTCTGAGGTTATTCATTCCGAAGGATCCATTGTTAATTGCTAGCAATTTTCCTGATGAGGAGGAGCAAAACAGATTCATCTTTATGCTATGGCAAGATATCTCAGCCAGACATTAATATATTTTCCTCACACTAATGCTTCTTTCCTCAACCTTGTAATTTTAATTTGTGGGTGATTTCTTTATTAAGATGCTACATGGTAATCTAATAGTAAGATTTTAATTGTATTTTTATTCAAAAGGCTAGTTGTTGAGTATGCTTTTTAAAAATTTTTTTTATTGATTTCAGAAAGGAAAGGAAAGGGAGCGAGAGAGATAGAAACATAAATGAGAGATAATCATTGAATGATTGCCTCCTGCATGCCCCCTACTGGCTCTTGAGCCCACAACCTGGGCATGTGCCTTGACTGGGTTAGGTCGATGGCTCAAGCACTGAGCCATACCAGCTGGGTGCTTTTTTTTTTTTTTTTCTGACCCGATTCTTCAAAGAGTAACAATCCCTAAGGAAGATAGAAGTTAAATAAAGATAAACCACACAATTAAAAACATAGACATGAAACACTAATTTATTCATCCTTTATAGACAAGAATGTTAGCTTTAATAAGCAGCTTAGTTTTATTGTTGCTCTTATCATGGATTTCTAATTATGGTTTTGTTTTTAGGATAGTTGTTGGGTCCTGGCCCAAACTTTTTCAAGCCAGCTACCTAAAGATAGGGACAAAATTGTGCATTGTTAGCAAGGCTGACACATCATCACCCAGGTGATTCTTCACCCTACTATTTTTTGAAATCTACTGTCTTAGAGAATTTATAATTAAGTTAAAATATATTGCAAAATTTTTAAAACAACCTATTTTCATTAATTTTAAATTTACGATACATCCTATAACTCCTGGGCAGAGATTGAAGAAAAGAGATGTTGTCATAAACTCAAAACGCAAACAGTTTGGGTGCCATGCCTGAGGTGAGCTATTTATAGACCACAAGGGCTATCTAATGCTGCTTTTGGAAAAAGTCAAGAGTTGTTTGACTTCCTTTTTCCATTACAACTGCATGCTTTCTAGAGGCTTGAGAAGCTGAAAAACAGACTGTTCCCTGAATTTTTATAATTCCTCTGTGATAAGCTTTTTTTATAAAATGCACATTGGGTTGGAGACCTGAGTGCCCTGTGCGTTTCTTTTCCAAAAGGGGTGTCCTTTAGGGAATGGAAGGAGTGCATGTCCACATAGCGAGACCTGGAGTTCTGACTTACTGGGCCCCCGGCTCCAACAGCAGTTAGCAGCACTCTTCTCAGCACAGCAGTTCCTCTGGAGGAGAGCTGGGTCCTGGCTGCCCTTTCTCAGGAAGCAAGTGTTATAACAAAGCCTCTTTTCAAGGTCTAACTGGAAGTGTGGTTTTACTGTGGCTCAGTGGTCATTTTTCCTTTCTCATTTTTTGTTAGAGTATACCTTTAACTTTGGAAGGACTAGTGAGATAATGGGACCACTGCTACCCTGTAACCTCACAGAACATCAAAAACCTTAATTTGCTAGAACAGTAGAGAGTCAAAGGTCAGAAGAAGCCTTTAAAGGAGTCATTTGAGTTCCATAGTGAGTTTACATCATATTACTGTTGTATTAGAGTTCAGTAATATAGGTAAGCAAGAATATGTGGGCATGTGTTGGTTTAGAGAGGAAGAAAAAAATTGTAAATATGTTAAAAATACTATTATGGGCAAAAAGAGCAGGTTTTCATTTTCAGTTAAGAAATTAGGCCATTCTGATTCCCAGTGACTGAAGACATTATAGGAAGGGTTTAGAGAAAAGACCCGTCACTACACTGATGAGACCAAGGACAGAGAGGAAGTGTGTGCTAGGTGAGAGGAGGAACATGCCATGGGTTGTTTGGTGCAGGCTCAGGAAGGGGTGTAAACATAAAGTGGCTGTAAATAATCAAATATTTTCCTATTTAGTTTGCCAAGTGTGTAACTTGGTTTTGATTTGAGGTTGTTTGTGTCTGTAGGGCAGGAACATGTCTTTTCAATTAACATGGTGTGCTGTACATTGTTAATGTCAGACACATGGGGACTTAATTAGTTTCGAGGCAGGAGTCCCTTGGAGCTAACCCTGCTGTCCTCCTGAGAGCTGCAGTGTGGTTTAGATCAGCGCTAAAAGCCTGAAGGCTAGCAGCAACTTAAAAAGCAAATTCCCAGGCTCACCCCCAGGGAATTCTGACTCACTATGAGAAAGTAAGTCCATCCCAGGAATCTGTATCTTCTGCAAAGCTCTCCAGGTGAGCCTGATCATATCCAGGCTCGGGAAATTAGTTTGAAAGACCATCGAAGGTTCTACAACAGCACAGGAGGCAACATCTTTGAAGTTCATTATTCACATAATGTGTTATAAATTCCGGGTCACAATATAAATGTCATTTAATTTAGTAATAGTTTGCTCCCTAGCACTGTGCTGTGTTTATAGACAGACTTTTCCTTGTAGAAAGAAGTGGGACAGCCCTAGTCAGTTTGGCTCAGTGGATAGACTGTCAGGTCCCTGTTTCAATTCCAGTCAAGGGCACTTGCTTTGGGGTGTGTGCAGGAGGCAGTAGAGGCAACCAATCGGTGTGTATCTCTCTCACATCGATGTCTCTCTCTCCGTGTCTCTCCCCATCTTTTCTACTCTCTCTGTAAAAATCAATGGAAAAAAATCTCCTTGGGTGAGGATTAAAAATAATAATAAGTAGGACAATAAACCTCCTGCTTTTTTATTCATCTCAGTTACAGAGTTAACAATACTACATGATTGCTAGACCATGATTGTCATTGGTTGAGCAATTCCGTATGTTTTAATGTTATATTGGGAACATCTCGACATAGATTTGTTTCAGCTTTGCCTTTGTATATTGCCTGTTATTTGAAAATGATGTTTCATTAATCCACTGAATAACACAATAAGCTTGTACTTCCCTACCCTAAGAAACTATAAACAGTTAATGTTTATTTGTTATTGCTGCTGCTAGTGCTTTATATCCTAGACAACACTTGAAATATGTGATGAGCCCCCAATTCGCTAATGATATACAACCTGGTTCAATCTGTTTTTATTATGTGAAATTAACTATGAAATAGTTGCAGAATTCTCTACAAAAGCATGTTTCTCATAATCCTAGACTCCTGTTTCCTCAAGGCCAACGATTTGACTCATAGTCTTTCATCATACCTAAAAGAAAGTAAGTAAACTCTCATTTTTAAAAAAATTATTCACCAAATTGTTATTACTTTAAAACATAAGTTCAGTCTCTTCAAAATAAAAAATTTCAAAACTACATTTAAAATAAAAAGTTTCCACCTCAAATGGATTTTAAATGGAGGGTGTTTCCTTAGGTCCCTCTTCATATTAACTTTTTTTTATTTAAGTTTATTCTTGTTTTGCTTTGGCTTTGGGAATTTGGGATTTGGTCTGATTTTTGTTTTATAACACATGAGAAGTATTGGTGTAGGAACCTAGAGAATAGTTAGCATTCTAGTTCAGACCCCTCACTCATTTGCTCTTTGACCTGAGGAAAGTCACTGAGCACTCTCTGAGACTTGACTTTGTTATCTGAAAGATGAGGACTGTGTGACCACTGTTCCAGCTCTGAGATTCTGAGGCTCTGTCCCCATCTTCAGAACTCAGACCCTGAGTATTACATAGTCCAACTAATTTAATCTTTTCAACATGTACTGCGTGGAGTCAGTAATAACTAGATTATTCACACCAGCTAGTCATTTATCTGTAACCAACAGTGAAATATTTAGATGTAGAGGATTTATCATTCTTCTTTCAAACTCTATTCAGTTCTGAGGACACTCAGCTTGAGTTCATAAACCTTTCTCCCCCTCAAATTCAGCAAGTGTAAATGTAATCAAGCTCACTGGGCTATGAGAGCTAAACAAGAGAACACATGTAAAGTGCCTAGCACAGTGTCACTGCTCACCAGATGTTTGCTATTATTTTAATGTCATTTCTATCTTACATTTTATGCTCAGTGTCCCTTTAAAATTTAACGTCATTGAATCAGAATTCTTTTCCTACTCAACATTGCCTTCAAGCATCAAACAAATTAAAAGTATCGCAAATGCATTCTTTTGAACTTTTTTTACTTAGTCCTAAAACTAGTCACTTTGGCATAATATATGTTTTGTGTTGTAAGTTAATGATATTTCATTTTAATCCAATACCTACAATATCCAGAGAATAGAATCTAAACAGTGCTCATTATATCCTATTTTACTTAAACACTACTTTAGAATAATGTTTTCTCTCATGGTATTTTTTTTCAGTCTGCCCTAAGTGGGTAAAACTTCGGAAAAACCATACAGAGAAGAAGTCAGTCCTAATGCTGATCATCTGCAGCTCTGCCGTCCGAGCCCTGGAGCTTATTAGGTTGGATGCTTCACCTACTATTTTGTTAATGTTTCCTGACTAGCTGATGTGTGCCGTATTGATATGTTCTGTATGCTGAAGATGTTGCAATGAGCGAAACAGAGTCCGCTCTCTCATAGGACTTACTTTCCAGGGAGGGACACCGACAATAAACAAATATACATTATAATGTCAGCTAGTGATAAGTTATATAAGAAAAAAATACAGTATAGATGTGGATGGGGGCTTCTTTTAAAAGGTGGTCCCAGAAAGCTTCTCTAAGGAGATGGCATGTGAGCCAAGACTTGACCACAGTGAAGGAGAAAGCCAAGCAGATGGCTAAGAGCATGCCAGGCAGAGGGGACAGTCAGAATGATCTGGATAATCATCCTGAAGGATCCCTTTGGCTGCTGTGTGGAGAACACACGTTGTAGAGGGCAAGGGTGAAAACAGGGAGACCATAGCAATAACCAGTTAGAAGAAAAGATAAAACACCAAGAAATAAACTTGTGAAAGCCCATATAAAGAAAATTTTTCAGAGTGATGCAGAAGACCTTGAATAAGGCATACCATGTCCTTGAATAATTAGATTCAGTGATGTAAAAATGTCTGTTTTACCTAAGATAATCCACACATTTCATAGATTCCCAACAGAACTCCAAAAGAATTGTTTTTAAACTAGGTAAACTAGTTCTAAGTCCATATGAGAAGAAATCTGTCCTCAGGGAAAATCTGGAAAAGATACTAATGAGCAGGTACTATGCCTACAGTATCAGATTTTTTAAAAAACGTACTACAAAGTCTCAATAATCAATACAGTATGGAACTGGCTCATGCATGACAGACAGCTTAGATCCGTGGAACAGAACTGGAAGTTCAGAAATAGACCCATATGTATATGAAAATGTAGCGTACGGCCAAGGTGACAAATCAGAAGGGAAAGATGGATTGTTTAATAAATGGTACTGGAACAACTGGGCAGCCATCGGAAAAATAAACTTGGATTCATATCTCACTTCTTATACCAAGATAAATTCCAGTGGACCAAAATTTTTAATGTAAAAATTACGTTGTAAAGATAAATTGTCAGTGCTTTACTACGTGCTTTCACATACTTTTTCATTTACTGTCGTTTGTGTAGAATAAACAAAAGGGCTTCCACTAGGTCTGGGTAACACTCAGCTCTCAGAGAAGAGCCATTGGAGTAAAAGGGAATTTACTGAAAGGACCAGGCTCTGTGCCAGGTTTTGGCACAAGACAAAGTAAAGGAAAATTTAAGTCCTGGAGAAAGAGGAACTTGATCAAATAGACTTGGGTGCAAATGTAGACATTCAGTAGGTATTTACCATCTATCTGTCCAAATGAACTAATCTGATCATGAATTTAGAAAAGTAGTCGTTAAACTTTGTTAATAGTCCTTCAAACTCTCCTTTCCCCATTAGGCACGCACAGAAGTTTTTCTTTCAACTATTTCTGCTCTAAACAATTGATCTTCAAGACTCCCACTACTCTGGGAAGCTCTATTTGAAGTATTAGGAGTTCACATAGACTTCTCCGTGTTTTAAAAACTACCACCACAGAACTTATTTCATATTCAAGCTCTAATGGCAATGAGGTTGGCCTCAAGGTGGCCTCTTAAAAACAACTTGTCAAATTGATTTGAGTGCTTACTCTACATAAATACCTTTCTTGGGGACATAAAAGCACTATGTTGTCGCACTTAATTTACCAATTCTTAGTGTTTCTCTGTGTCACCTGGTAATATTATGATCCATTTCAAGGTTAGGGGATTTGCAAAAGGTGAATTTTGAGCAGGCACAATGAGCCCTATTCATAAAGACTAATTGTGAATAATTCTAACTTTTGTAAGAATATTTGCTCCCTTGAGAACCATGAGTTATGTCAAATATGTTCCCTAAATTTTCTTCCTCGTTAACCTTGCCTTGGAGAAAGCTTACATATAAGTGAAAAATCAAGTGCAGCCTGGGCTACATGGCTCAGTGTTGAGCATCAACCTATGTACCTGTGGTTCGATTCCCAGTCAGGGCACATGCCCGGGGTGTGCAGGAGGCAGCCAATCAATGCTTCTCTCTCATCGATGTTTCCTTCTCCCTCTCTCTCTCTCTCTCTCTCTCTCTCTCTCTCTCTTTCTCTCTCCTCACTTCCTCTCAGAAATCAATAAAAATATATTTTTAAAAATCAAGCACTTATAAATGATTCTCTCTCTTCATTGATTTTTCTATCTCTCCCTCTTCCTTCCTCTCAGAAATCAATAAAAATATATTTTTAAAAATCAAATGCAACAGCACTTATATAACATGATTCACTATTTGCAAACTCATAGATTCTTGCTGACCAATAGTATTTCCACAAACATAATAATGAGATATAAAGGAAAGTAATATTTTCAAGCAGTTTTTCCATGTTAGATCTTGCCCCAAACATCGACTAAAAGGCATTGCTATTTTATACCCATTTATATCTGAAGCATTTCTACATACAACATTTTATGGAAAAGCTCACTCTGCAACGTAAAGAAAAGAGGAGGCTGCTCTTGAAGGACACAAGCCCTTTTGCTCCACCCTGTCAGCTCATCCCAGCTTCCCCCACTGCCCCCGAGCACAGGCTGACCCCAGCGCTGTAAGAGATTTCTCACAACCACATTTTGTCTGAGAACTATACTACAGAGTTTGAAGATCAATTCTCTGTTAGGAACCTGAAATACAGAAATTCTGTATTGCAAGTAAAGTGCAGATCCATGTTTCAGTACCCAAGGAAACCTAAGTAAAGCTAACCCTGTGTGTGAGAATGAGAAGCCTGAATAAAAGGCCACCCATTTTCATTTCAGAGATGGCTAGCCTGAAAATCCCAGAACTTTTTTGTGTGTGTATAGATACACATACAGGTGAACATATATACATATAAATAAACACACATATTCTTTGAATAAAGAAAGACATAATACTGAATTAGCCAACAGGCTCAGAAGGAGTGACCTTTCTTGTGCATTAATCTATTCCTTCTCATTAGGTCAATGACAGCATTCAGAGGAGACAGCAAAGTTATGAAATTATTTGCAAAACACATAAAGGTAAGCAAAGGGCCTGTGGTTATTGGTGGAAGATGTTAGTGATCTTTAAGGGTCACTTCTAGATCTTGGCTTTTCCCTTCAACCTCTGTGTAACTCCTTAGCCAGGGTTTTCTTTGGTGCCTCCTTCTATAACACATTTAATGACCATTCTGATTTTCTTTGCATTCCCTACCCCTGCACACCCAACTCTCCCCACAGCAGTCACACTTGTCCCTGCTCCGAGGTTCCTCTACAGAAGCTGAGGCTTGACCCTGGACTCTGTGAAGATTTACCAGTTTTCTTCTATCTTGATGTTAACCTTCTTTGCCCTAAACAAGGGTAGCCTCACTTGCTTTCTAACTTTCTTAACTTTTAAACAAAATGCTCTAAATTGGCCCATGATTGATTGCAGTTTCTAATGACTCTTTGAAAAGAGTTTCTTGACCCAATTTCCAACATGTGGAGGGGGTGCTTCTTCATGTATCCAAGAAATGCTCTGGACACCAATTTCATGTCCTACAATGCAACTCAACTCTGACAATGTCTACCTGGAAACACATCAGGTTCCACAGGTTAAGGGCTCAGTCCTACAAGACCGCATGCACACCTCATACCCCCAACTTCAGACACCAGTTGAAAGTCCAGGATGTTACCTATTCTTCTGACCAACAGGTTCCCACAAACCCCTCCTCAAATTCAGTTAATTTGCAAGAGCAGCTGACGAAACATTTTACTTACTAGATCACTGATTCATTATAAAAACATGTAACTCAGGAACAGCCAGGTGGAAAAGATGCCTAGGGCAGGGTTGGGAAAGGTTGTGGAGCTTCCATACCCTCTCCAGGCACACACTCTCCCCAAATCTCCATGTGTTCACCAACCCAGAAGTTCTTCAAACCCTTCCTCTCAGGTGTCTTAAGGAGGCGTCAGTACTTAGGCATGATTGATTAAATCATCAGCCATTGGCGATTGATTCAACCTCAGCCCCCCACCCCTCCCTGCAGGTTTGGAGTGGGAGTGAAAGTTAATTACATAGTGGGTTCTCCTGGAACCGGTCTCTAGCCTCAGGTGCTTCCAAAAATCTCCTCATTCAAGTAACAAAAGACAGCTTTATCACTCTCAACACTTAGGAACTTGCAAGGCTTGGGGAGTTATGAGTCAGAAACTGTGGACGAAGGCCACATTTGTATGAGAAATATATTTTGGTAGTCTGCCTCAATATCACACTTCTCTTTATTCTCTTCCATCTTGGAATAGGTCCAGGAGCAGGTAAAGTTGCTGGAGAAGCGTGCCGTGCACCTGGGTGTAGGAACTCCAGGGAGGATTAAAGAACTCGTTAAACAAGGTATGAAAAGAGCCAGTGATAGTCTTCAGAGCTGGGAGTTGGCCGTACCCCCATGTGAGTTTTGGGAACCACATGTGTGATGCAGTGAAACCAGATCTCTGTGTTAATTCAGGAGTTGGAAATTCAGCTGTGAGTCTGTAAAGTCAGCCAGCAGGTTTGATGGAGTAGGGAAGGATGAGAACTGTGAAATTGAAGGGCATGTGCCCACCTAAATACATTCAGATTTCAATTGCTTTAAACAGGTTAGTGGATCCACAATTGATTCCATCTGTTTGCACCCTCTGGAATTTGTAGAGCTGGATATGTTGAGTATTTCCCTCCCACTTAAGTGTGTCTTGGTTCCCCACAACTCCCATTCCACTTGAAAACATGTTGAAACAAAAATGCAGTTTCACCTAGATGGCGTGGCTCAGTGGTTGGGCATTGACCTATGAACCAGGAAGTCACGATTTGATTCCCAGTCAGGGCCCATGCCTGAGTTGCAGGCTTGATCCCCAGCGGGGGCGGGCATGTAGGAGATAGCCAATCAATGATTCTCTTACATCACTGATGTTTCTATCTCTCTCCCTCTCCCTGCCTCTCTGAAATCAATTAAAAAATATTTTTTAAGTGCAGTTTCTGTGGATGAAATCTTCATATTCTAAATCGTTTCTTTTGTAGTGCTTTACCCAGAAAGTATTCCAGAGGACATCCACCTGCTAACCTGCTAATGATCTTATTAACCTGTTCTGCCTGCCAGACAGATTAAAGATATCTTATCAAATCTTACCAAATTACTTCTTCAATATAGTAATACACATTGTTTCATAACTGACAGGAGCTATTCCTGGATTTTTCATATTTCTAAACATAATGTGTTCATTAGTATAGTAACTGGGTATACAGATAGTCATTTGCCAGGAAGCAAATGAAAACTAAAAATACTAGTGTTTCTCCTCAGATGAAAGCCACCCAGGTTAAATAAACCCACTATATACAGAGCTCTGTGCAATTACAAATAACAAACTGGAGGCCCCAGATAAGGAAGGGAAAAATTTTTTTTTGAGTTCCTATGTATACTTAGCAATATGCTAAACCAGTGGTTCTCAATCTTCTGGCCCTTTAAATACAGTTCCTCATGTTGTGACCCAACCATAAAATTATTTTCGTTGCTACTTCATAACTGTAATGTTGCTACTGTTATGAATCGTAATGTAAATATCTGATATACAGGATGGTCTTAGGCGACCCCTGTGAAAGGGTCGTTCGACTGCCAAAGGGGTCGCGACCCACAGGTTGAGAACCACTGTGCTAGACACTTAACATCTATCTCATGTAGTACTCACCTCACCCTTGCAGGCTAGGGTTCTGATTTCCTCAGAGAGAAAACCAAAGCACACAGGGTTAAGTGGCCCTCCCAGGGTCACTCAGTCCAGGCTTTCCTGGTTCCTGAACCTTCCCCAAAAGGGAGCTCCCGATCCCATTGAAGAGATAAGTGCACATAGAATTAGGTTGACCATACAAGACAATAAAGCCCAAAGGCCAAGTGAGCACTTCTGAATCTAGAGAAGTTGAAATGAGGGAGAGATTGACGTGGTAGCTGAGTCTGCAGGGAAAGCTTTGTAGAGTTTTTAACTCATCTTTAAAGTATGAGGAGAATTAAAGTAGGATCTATGGAGATGTGAGGAAAGCACTCAGGAACGTGCAGGAACGGGAGAAGGGCTGATCAGGAGGCCAGGCAGAGAGATATGTGGTAACCCTGGAGGAGGTGATAAGTGAACAATACTGTGTTGAGTCTACGAACCCGTTATGGACTCAGACTCCAGATTCAGGTCCCAGGTCCAACAACTTACCATGCCAGGTCTGTGACCTTGCAAGTTACCTTCTCTAAACCTGTTTCTCTATCAGAATGACAGAGACAGAAATAGTATCTCAAAGGATTATTATGAAAATTGAATGCCAATAAAGAGCTCAGCACAGTGAGTGTCATACCTTAAGAACTCGCAAAATGCTAGTTGTTGTTATTGAAGAGACCACGTTTCTTACTCGGGGACTTCATGGGCTGTACTATCTTGTGATTCAACTGGGAAGAAAGTCAGATTGTGAGGGAGGGCCTTGAACAGTAATCTGAGGAGTTTGGAGTTTTGTCTTGTGAACATGATGGGGCGATGAAAATGAAGGAACAGGTGAGAGGTGCTCATAGGTCTTCTGTGAAACGCAGAGTTGGGAGAGCTTGGCTGGGCAGCGGGAGAGGCCAGGGACAGACGCCGCCTCTCCCTCAGCCCCCTGCCAGAGATTCACCTCTCCCTTTCCTGGAATACAGATGGGTTTTTGTGGTCACCAGGCCCCACTCTTCTTTGTATTTAGAAGAGAGAGGGGAAAAACAAAGCTGTACATATCATTGAAATTAGATTTCTACAGAGTTGTGAGACACGTTTTAAGATAGTGATTTCATTTTCTTTGGCTATATACCCAGAAAGAAACCCAGGCATGTGCCATGACTGAGATCAAACCATGACCTTCTGGTTCATAGGTGGACACTCAACCACTGAGCCATGCCAGCCAGGCCTTTCACTGTGGTTTTGATTTGTATTTACCTGATAATTAGTGATGTTGAACATCTTTTCATGTACTTGTTGGCCATTTGGATGTCTTATTTGGAAAATGCATACTCAGTTCCTCTGCCCATTTTTAAATTAGATTTTTTTTCTATCGAGTTATATGAGTTCTTCCTGTATTTTGTATATTAAACCCAAGTTAGATTATTTTTTAACAATTCTATCATGGTAGGATATTTGGGTTGTTTCTTATTTTTTGCTATTATAAATAATACTGCAGTGATCATTTTGTAAGTAACTGTGTTTAAATTTCTGATGTTTTTATTGGATATGTGTAGATGGAGAATTTTTTTATCAATAGAAAGCATTTTAAAGCTCCTTTTTTATAATGCCCAGTACTTTTTTAGGGAGGTTGTACCTGTTTGCTCTATTACCAGCAGTGAATTATTTTTGAGTGAAGACTACCAACCCATTGTCATTCTTTATTTTTCATTTTTCAGAAAATTTTAAATAAGAAGCATTGTAATTATAAGAAGCATTAAAAAATTCTTTTGGGCCTGGCTGATGTAGCTCAGTGGTTGAGCGTGGACCTATGAACCAGGAGATCAAGGTTCAATTCCGGTTAGGCCACATGCTTGATCCCCAGTAGGGGGCATGCAGGAGGCAGTTGATCAGTACTTCTCTGTCGTCATTGATGTTTCTCTCTCTCTCTTTTCCTTCCTTTCTGAAATCAATAAAAAAAAATTGTTTTAAATTATTTTAGGCAGAGAGGGGAAATATTAAAATAATCACAGAAGAGTTGAAGGGACATGCTGCAGTTGTGTAAAAGAAGGCTTCAATTATGTTGCCACGTGAAACATGTAACAGGTTGGGTCAGTGGGGAGAACATGGAGAGTGAGAACTAACTGTGCCCGACTCTGAGACCTCTAAGAAGCAGACAATCCCTGAGGTCCACTGAAGCCCCACATTCTATTATTGTCTCTAGATCAGCGGTTCTCAACCTGTGGGTCGAGACCCCTTTGGGGGTCGAACGACCCTTTCACAGGGGTTGCCTAAGACCATCGGAAAACACATATATAATTACATATTGTTTTTGTGATTAATCACTATGCTTTAATTATGTTCAATTTGTAACAATGAAAATACATCCTGCATATCAGATATTTACATTACAATTCATAACAGTAGCAAAATTACAGTTATGAAGTAGCAACGAAAATAATTTTATGGTTGGGGGTCACCACAACATGAGAAACTGTATTAAAGGGTCATGGCATTAGGAAGGTTGAGAACCACTGCTCTAAATAGACAGGAAGACAGTGGAAACAGCCCTAAGTTCTTTCCTAGTCTCCTCAGGGGATAGCAGCCTTTAATAGGGCCCATTCACCTTAGCTTCCTTTTCTGCCCCAAATGAACCTCCCAGCCCTGTCCTCATCCTTTTGCCCACTCACCTCCTCAGTCGTGTGGCCTCAGGTGGACTCAACTCCAAACTGCAGGAATCTTATCAAATCCCTGACAGGAATGAAACTTCACCCGCTGGCGCTTCCTGGAGGCTTAGGATTGATTTTTTGCCAGCACTTGAGCATTTGACAAGCTTAGCAAAAGCAGCTTCTCTGCTTCTCAGAATCAGTGATAAGATTATAGGAGGGGAGTCTCGGACTACCGCATTTGTTTTCCATCAGGAAGGGCAGCATTTAATGTGAGAGATTAGTTACTGGGGAGAGGACAGCAAATGAGGCAAAAAGCAACCAAGAGAATAAAAAGTAGTTTTAATTTATTCACGTCATGAGTTCTTGACTGCGGCAACCCTCTCCCTATCTTTCAGGTGGCCTTAATTTGAACCCCTTAAAGTTTCTGGTTTTTGACTGGAATTGGAGAGATCAGAAGTTGAGGAGGATGATGGACATTCCCGAGGTACCGTTGATTTTAATTTTTTTTCCTTTTATCTGAACTTGAGTTCAAACACAGTAATAGAGTCTTTGACATGAAGACCAGCACATCCTGGCCTTTGACAGTTACTGTAAAGGAATAATCATGGAACCCATCTCACCCCTTACACATAATCCTATCACTCCCATGTGTTTTATAGGAATCGGCTTTGTTTCCTCATTAAATGACAGAGAGCTTCTGCCTCACTAGGGACCATAGCTATACTGTACCTTTGAGAAATAGGAAGATCTGGAGAACTTGGCATACTTCCCTGTGCTTTGCTTTAGAGGCACAATCACCTTTGCTTTTCACCCTTTTAAGTGCACTTGGAGGCGGGTGTGCAAATTTGCCTCATTGCTCACATCTTTATGAGTCGAGTGGTTTTTTCTGAGCAGGACGCAAGGGTGATTCTTTCCTGGTTCTTGTCCAGGTGCATTTGAAGAATGAAGCCACAGACAAAAGGTGGTGTATGAAAAGGTGGAAATTTATTGAAAACAAGTAGAGACTCCACGTAGGGAGGGGGTCCCAAAGGGAGTAGCCCCTAAGCCCCTTTTTCCTAAGGTTTATAAAGGCTGCAGTTCTTTGTCTTTTCTTGCTGCCTTCCAATTGGTAAAATACCAGCTTCAAAGCTCAAAACCCACATGGTGTCCCCTCTTTTTCTCCCCCTTCAGTGGTAGAATTCTCTGTCTCCTGTGAAAATCTGTTTCCTCTTTCTCCCACTTGTCAGCATTTCTCTATCCTCTGTGAAAGTTCTTTTTCCTCTTTCTTCCCATCCCGTGTGGCTCTTTCCTATCTTCTGTGAAAGGATGTCTTCCTTTCCCCTTATCCTGTGGCACCTTTTGTTCTCTGTGAACATATGCCTTTAGCAGCTCCAAGCCCCCACTATGGGCTCCAAGCCTTCCTCCCCCATGGACCCTCTTTATTTCTAAAACTCCCTAAACCTACCTATTTTACCCTCTAAAACTCCTTTCATTTACATCCCCTAAAACCCAGTTACTTAATTTGGAGCTAGTTTGATTTTGGGGGATTTTTTAATGTCTCAGTAGATTAAAATTGAATGTCTACCCTTTCCCAGCCTGAGTGGCTCCATGGTTGAGCATTAACCTATGAACCAGGAGATCATGGTTCGATTCCCAGTCGGGGCACATGCCCGGGTTGCAAGCTCGATCCCTAGTAAGGGGCATGCAGGAGGCAGCTGATCGATGATTCTCATCATTGATGTTTCTATCTCTCTCTTCCGCTCCCTTCCTCTCTGAAATCAGCCTATACTAATAAAAGGGTAATACGCTAATTAGACCGGGTCGACCAGACATCTTTCGGATGTCCGACTTCTTTCCAGACAAAACCACGGTGGTGGGGGCCGAGACAGAGGCGGTTAGGGGCAATCAGGCTGGCAGGAGAGCAAGCAGTTAGAGGCAAGATCAGGCCGACATGGGGGAGCAAGCAGTTAGGGGTGAGATCAGGCTGGCGTGGAGGGGGATCGGGCCTAAGCCAGCAGTTGGACATTCCCCATGGGGTCCCAAATTGGAGAGGGTGCAGGCCAGGTTGAGGGACACCCCCCCCCCTCCTGTGCACGAATTTTGTGCACTGGGCCTCTAGTAAAAATATATTTTAAAAACTGAATGCCTGCCCGGGCCAGAATGGCTCAGTTGGGTGAGTAATGTCCCAAGCACCAAAAGGTCGCTGGTTCAATTCCTGATCAAGACACTACCCAGGTAGGGGAGGCCAGGGGATTGTCAAGGGCGGGGGGAAAAAAAAGGAGACATATGTAATACTCTTTGTAATACTTTAAGCAATAAAAAAAAAGACACTACCCAGGTTGCAGGTTTGATCCTTGGTCAGGCTGCTTATGGGAGGTAATCAATCAATGTAGCTGTTGGAGATAAAAGGATTTGTACAGTAGTAAACAGGGCTGCCGGTCACCAATCAGGAATGAATCATGGCAGTAACTAGCGTAGAGGCTGGGAATTACTCCTCCAACCATGCCCAGTGAACTAATTTACCACATATAACTATATTCCCAGAATGACCAAACCTGATCACAAATGATCAGTGAATTATATCAGATATCAATTCAAGTTAAGAGACAATTTTCTCACTTTCCTACACACACACACACACACACACACACACACACACTGTCCCCTGAACAGTTTTGGGTTTTTTTTAAACTGGTTTTGCCAGGCCAGCGTGGCTCAGTGATTGAGCATCGACCTATGAACCAGGAGGTCATGGTTCAATTCCCAGTCAGGGCACATGCCCAGGTTGTGGGCTTGATTCCCAGTGTGGGGTGTGTAGGAGGCAGCCGATCTACGTTTCTCTCTCATCAATGTTTCTCTCTCTCTCCCTCTCTGAAATCAATAAAAATAAAATAAACTGATTTAACCAATTTAATGTCCAGCACATGAGGCCATATTTGATTATTTCAGATTTAATGTTAAATCTGAGTAATCTACCACTAGTTTTTTAATTACAATAATTCAGAGAAATAGTAACCAAACAAAACAAAAAAATCCTTGTCCCTCATAGTTATTTTTTTTATGTTGATGTCATTATTAGCAGTTATCCTATAATAGAACTAGAAGCCCAGTGCCTGAAATTCAACTTCCTCAGCCCGGCCGGTACCCTCTCACAGTCCAGGACCCCTTGGGGGATGTCTGCCTGCTGGCTTGGGATCGGGCCTAAGCTGGCAGGCGGACATCCCTCTTGCAGCCCGGGACCCCTCGCTCCTTACCACGTGCTTGCTCGTTGCTCCTTAGCATTGCCGCGAAGGTGGGAGAGGCTCCCGCCACCACCACTGCACTCACCAGCAGTGAGCTCTGCTTCTGGTTGAGCAGCGCTCCCCCTGTGGGAGCGCTGACTACCAGGGGGCAGCTCCTGTGTTGAACATCTGCCCCTGGTGGTCAGTGCACATCATAGCAACCGGTTCCTAACTGCTCACCTGCCTGCCTGCCTTGCTGATTACCCCTAACTGCTCCCCCCACCGGCCTGGTTGCCCCCAACTGTCCCCCCCGCCGGCCTGGTCGCTCCATGCAGCCTGCTTGTTCAGTCGTTTGGTCGTCCTTCACTAACCCCACTGCCAGCCTGGTCATCCCATACAGCCTGCAGTTCGGTCGTTCATCCGGTTTTTTCGGTCATGACGGTCCCTGGCTTTTTATATATTAAGACTGTGTCTAATCTGGGCACACTTAAGATATCTTTGTATGAGATTTTATTTTAAGTGGCTGCAAGCAAAAGGACACTTGAACAAAACTGTTTTATATAATACCTCTTCCTTTACTTGTGCAACTATTCCAGCTCTGAATAAAATATGGGTTAGGATTTCTGCCTCCCTGACTCTGGCCATATCAGCTGCATAAATACCAGAGAGTCCAGAAGGTTGAATTTATTCACCAAGACCATCTTTTCTTAATCTTAACCTTTTTTTTCTTTTATCTTTTCTCTCATTTAGATAAAAAAGGAAGTTTTTGAACTTCTGGAAATGGGAGTCCTCAGTCTGTGCAAGTCGGAATCCTTGAAGCTGGGCCTCTTCTAATCTGTGTCCCAGTGAAGATCCCAGGGTTCACAGTGGGATTTGCCTCTTGTTCAATGGCTCAAACACACTGCAGACACTCAGTACAAATCAGCTGCTTTTTTATTGCATTAGCCGCATCACCAGGTAGACCCCTGGGAATGTGTGATCAACATGAATCTGTCCTTTGCCAACCCCTTGTATAATAAAATATTGCCAGCTTGTTCTTCTCTCACCGACTGGCCTCTGATGTGACTATGCTGGGCCAGCTTAGGCAAATGCTTCCCTCTCTAAGCCTCAGTCTCATCAGCTGCAAAATGGGAATGATATTTGGCAGGATTGTTGAGGATTCCATGTGATGGTACATGTGGAACAGATTTGCAAACTACAAAGCCTGGTTCCAGTGTGAAGCATGGCCGTAGTAGTAGTAGGAAGAGCTACAAGTGTATGTGGCACTTTGTAAATACAAAAGACAACAATATAACTACAACTGTCTTATTAATTTTTTAACTTGTTATTCAGACTTTCAGAAAAGTTACAAAAATAGCATAGAGAATTCCCATATGTCCTTCCTCTGGCTTCTCTCAATATTAACATCATGTGTAACCACAATAGTTATCAGAACTAAGAAATCAATGTTGGTACAGTACAATTAACTAAACTACAGACTTCATTCAATTCCACCAGTTTTTCCACTGATGCCTGTTTTCTTTCTTTTTTTGGTATATCTTTTTTTAATATATATTTTTTTATTTCAGAGAGGAAGGGAGAGGGAGAGAGAGATAGAAACATCAATGATGAGAGAAAATCATTGATCAGTTGCCTCCTGCACATCCCCGACTGGGAATCAAGCCCTCAACCCAGGAATGTGCCCTTGACCGGAATCGAACCCGGGACCCTTCAGTCCACAGGCAGATGCTCTATCCATTGAGCCAAACAAGCCAGGGCTGATGCCTGATTTCTATCCTAGGATCCAGTCGAGGGTCCCACATTGCATGTAGTTGTCATGTCTCCTTAGTTTGCTCAGATCCAGGACTGTTCCTCAGCCCTCCCTTTGTATCATGACCTTGACACTTTTGGAGAGTAATGACCAGGTGTTATAGAATGTACTTCAATATCAGTTTGTCAGGTGTTTCCTGCATTTTTTGGACAGAATACCACAGGAGTGATGTGCTATTTTTTATACATCATAGCAGGGGGTATATAATGTTGATTCATCTTAATACTGGTAATGCCAACTTTGTTCACCTGGTTACAGTAGTGCCTGCTGTATTTCCCCCCTGTAAAGTTACTATTTTTTCCTTTGTAATTAATATTTATCTTGGAGGAAATGCTTTGATGCTACACAAATATCTTTTTTTCCCTCATACTTTGCCTACTAATTTTAGCAACATTAGTAGTTCTTGCCTGAAACCATTATTCTGTAGTGATTTTTCTGTTTCCCTCATTATTTCAACATTTACTAATTGGAATTCTTCTGTAAGAAAGAGCTGTCTCTTTTCCCCATTTACTTGCTTGTCCAACTTTTTACATCAGTGTGGACTCATGAGTGTTTATTTTGTTCTATGAATTATAACCCAGTACTATTGGTTTTATTTTGTTGCTGCAATTCACTTACTTTCTTACTCATTTAAATAATTTTTATTGATTACCCATCTATGTTAAGCAGTATGTAGGGCTTTCATCATTGACATAGTACTGAAGAAAAGTATTATAATTCACATTTTTTAGATTTTGAAAGTGAATCTCAGGAAGGACACACAGTAGTTTTAAGTAGTAGAACCAGAAGTCCCCAGATCTCCCATGGCAGGACACCGTGATCACCATGTTAGGGATTCAGGCATATAAATCAAATAAGAGATAAAAACAAACAGATGCCACTACCGGTACGTAAAATTCTACATCTGAATACTATGACATTTTAATGAGCCTGGCAGGCTAGCATTAATCAACCTCCATTAAAAACACACTTCTGCGTACCAGAGACTTGCTGCTAGTGCACCTCTGTTGTCTGGAAGCCACACGCAGGGACTCAAAGGGAAGAAAAGTAAGTTCCGTTCTGCAGGACCCTAACTCAGGCCCACCAGTTAGAGGGAAAAGAAGAAAAGCTGCCACAATGTGAAAATCTATTCAACTATGGCTGAACTTAACCCTATTCTTTTCATCCCTTTAATCTTAACATTTGAGTTGTTCTTGGCCAATAGTAAGAAAAAAGAATAGATCACATGCCTTTCCTGTCAATTAACAGGTCTTAGATTAATCTGGAGGAAAACATCAAGCATATACTAATAAAAACCTAGGTGGTGTCTCGCCCCCGCATCATCACAAGATGGCCAGCAGGGGAGGTCAATTGGGGGCAAACAGGCCAGCAGGGGAGGGCAGTTGGGGGCGATCAGGCTGGCAGGGGAGGGCAGTTGGGGGCAATCGGGCCGGCAGGGGAGGGCACTTGGATGATCAGGCTGGTGAGGGAGGGCAGTTGGGGGCTTCAGGCTGGCAGAGAAGTGGTTAGGCGTCAATCAGGCTGGCAGGGGAGCGGTTAGTGGGCAATCAGACCGGCAGGGGAGTGGTTAGGGGGTGATCAGGCTAGCAGGCAGAAGTGGTTAGGAGCAATCAGGCAGGCAGGCAGGCGAGCAGTTAGGAGCCAGCAGTCCCGGATTGTGAGAGCTATCCGAGATTGGAGAGGGTGCAGGCTGGGCTGAGGGGCACCCCCCCACCCCAGTGCACGAATTTTGTGCACAGGGCCTCTAGTCCATATATATAAAGGCCTAATATACAAATTGTCTTCTCTGGAGTGAGACCAGGAGACCAGGAGTTCGATCGCTTGCTTTGTCATGCACTTACCACCAGGGGCTGGCGCGGAATGAAGGAAGGCTCCAACTGGTAGCCCAAAGGCCCTGATCGGCCCTGATCACCGGCCAGGCCTAGGGACCCTACCTGTGCATGAATTTCATGCACCAGGCCTCTAGTGATTGTATAAGAGGACAGAGTTGCAAATTGAGTCTATGCATGTCAAAATTCAGACCAATCCACTAAGCCACTACTGATTTACCAAAACCAAAAAATGAGACCATCATGATTAATGTTTGCATATAAGTTATGTGTAGGTGCGAGTGTACTCCACACACAACCATTTCCTGATTCTACACTATATTTAGTACATTTGTATCCCAGCAGTTAATAGGAAAAGGCAGTGAAATATGAGGCAACTCCAAATATATAAAATGACTGCCGATGCTAGGAGGCTATATTAGTATATATACAGGTTAAAGAAAAATGAAAACAAGGACTTAAAAAGGTACGCTCTGAAGTTTCTAATGATACTGCAACACAACAGCTGCCAACAGATCATCACGCCCACATCAGTTAGAGCAGTGGTTCTCAGCCAGAGGAGAATTTGCCCCATGTCTGGAGACATTTTGTTGTCACAACTAGGGGGCTACGATACTATTGGTATGTAGTGGGGGGTAGTGACTGGCAGTTAGTGGGTCGAGGCCAGGGATACTACTACACATTCTACAACCTACAGGGCAGCCCCTCGCCACAAAGACATCTGGACCAAATGCCAACATTGCTGAAGTTGAGGAACCCTGTTCTAGAAACTTGAAGAGCAGAGCAAATGAAGTATAATTGTATGCTTAAAATAGGTTTACTTAGAAGCAAGAAATATGTAAATACAAAAATACATATAAACTGTGTATTTGAAAAAATTTAAAAATAAAGTGTGTATCTGGCAGTCTCTCAAGCATGTTGCCCCAGAAGTATTTTTCTTACTATCTGTGATGGTTAATTTTATGTGTCAACTTGACTGGGCCACAGGGTGCCCAGATAGTTAGTTGATCAAATACTATCCTGGGTGTTTCTGTGAGGGTATTTTTGGATGAGGTTAATATTCAAATTAGTGGACTGTGGTGAAGCAGATTACCCTCCATACTGTGGGAGGGCCTCATTCTGTCAGTTGAGGCCCAAATAAAACAAAGGTTGAGCCCCCTCCCCCATCCCCCCATCAAGTGAGAAAGAATTCTGCCCCCAACTGACAGCTCCCTAGCCGATGGCCTTCAGACGGGGACAACAGCTCTGCAGAGTTTAGACTCAACTCCTCCATAATCACGTGAGCCAATTCCTTATAGCCTCCCTCTACTTAATAAATAATACTTAATAAATAATAATATGAGAATAATACTTAATAATACTTAATAAATAATAATACGAGAATAAACTCTATTTTGTGTACTCACAACTGTAATCCTACTTTTGCCCCACCCTGTATGCAATCTCCTGTTTCTTTGGAGAATCCTAACATACTAGCTGTGAATCTCCTTTAGTTTGGGACTGTGGTTGGTTTGGTTTTGTTGTTTTATAAAAGGCCCAAGAAAGCCCTAGCTGGTGTGGCTCAGTGTATAGAGCATCGGGCACCAAAGAGTCTCGGGTTGGAATCCCAGTCAAGGGCATGTACCTGGGTTGGTCGGGCCAACACTGCGCATTTAATCAAATCTTACTGACTTACTGGCTTTTAAACCCAAGCTCTTGACCATTGTTTATTTACTAAGACAAACAGTAGATGTAAACTGGAAGTGTTCACTACTGCTTTCTTACACAAGGCTGCCTGATACCAACAGCCACACTACACTCGTCACCACCTCCAAGCCAGATCCTAATGGCGTGCTGAAGAGTTTCCATTGGTATTGTGCTTTTTCCCCAGTTCTGCGAGTGGAAAGTTCTGACTCTGAATTGGAAACCTCCTATTACATGTATTTGCATTTACTAGTATTTTATATTCCTTTAAACTAGGTACATTTGCCAAAGTCATTGCCTTCTTTAATAAAAAAATTAAAATAGTCCATCATGGCTTTCCTCCCTAATGTATAAAAGAGGAAGGATTAGAAACTCACCTAATTTTTTTAAAATCCTAATTCTACATCTTAAATTCATCTTAAAGAAAAGGGCGTAATTAACATCCTAGTGAAAATGGTGTTAATAGATTTCTAATAAGTGAAATACAAAACAAAACCAGTAACACCATCCTATATGATAAAAGGCTAATATGCAAATAGACCAAACATTGAAACAACCAGTTGCTATGACATGCGCTGACCATCAGGAGGCCCGCGTGAAACATGGCAGGTGTTGGCCACGGCAGAATGGTGGAGCAGATGAGCGGGGGCACCAGACCAAGGCAGGACACCAGTCGCTGTCATCGGGGCAAACCTCTGGTGGTTACTGAAAATTCTTTGC